AGTATGTCTTTAAAAACAAGATGACAGTATAGCAACTGAAGAAGTGTAACTTTTCTGCTTGATGATGCTGTGATAAGGAAAACATCCTATGTTGCAACCTTGCTAGTCACTTTTAGATAAAGAAACACTATTTTAAGAGGAAAAGGTGGCTGTATCATAAAGTTTGCGTCTCCAGAATAGATACAGGCTGAAATCCCGTTGAGTAGCTATGCGGGTGGAGCTCAGTGCTTGCAGCAGCTGCAACAGTGACAAGGTAGAAGTGCAGTCCAAGAAGCAGTTCTGTTGACAAGCGTGACAGGATCCCCGTGACTCATTTGTGCAGTAGAATTGCTCAGTCTGCATAGCCTGGGGGGGGGGGTAACACACAAACTTTACATTGTGTGGTGACAAACAGGATTCCAGCAATTGATGCAGCCATTATATCTGCCTCTTTCTCTTTCTCTTCATCCATTCCCTGAGGTCTTGGCCCAATTCATATGGATAATTCCATATATGGACATATAAACTTCTATGACTGACATGTCAGTTCAGTCAGAAGTTCAGTCAGACATGTTGTAAAAAGTTCCTTCACTGATTGAAGAAGACTTAAATCAGGTATACATAGATGGAGATTTATCGTGCTTCTGATCTGAACATCAGTTCTACTTCTGCACTTGCTTTTAAAAGTAGGGGAAGGAATTAAAATGCAGTCATAATTCACCCTGATGCACACATTTAGAATTCAGTTTGCTATTTCAGAGTCAGATAGCAGCTGATTCTCTGCAACTGTTTTCAAATGGTCAGGAAAGAAATATAATATTTTCAGTCTCAAGCCATCTCTCTTTTGAAACACTGTCACAGTCTATATGTGTGTTTGTGACGTATTTTTGTATTTATCCCAACCAACTCAATCTTCACACTCATTTTTACTAGGAGGAGAATATTTAAAATATCTGGAGTCCTCTCAAATAATACGCATTACCATGGCGTTTATAATACGGCACAACTAAAGCCTTGCAAATGTGCCTGTTTAAGGCTCATGAGTAGATTTAAAACAGAAATGTAAAGGAATTCCAATTTAAAAGCACAAATGGCATTTGACCTAATTCTTGCCAGTGTTAATGCTATCCTCAGGATTATATATAGCGAACAAAAACAGACAGGAATCTGGTAAACCTTTCCGATCCTGGCAAAATTGTAAGCAGTGGCAGAATAATAAAAGAGGAAATTAATCTCTGGAGCTATTGTCAACGGCTTAATTTTGTTGAAGTTCAGCTTCATTTAGGGGAAAGGATTTGACTCCTGCATTATTTGTAGCATTCCAAAGGATCAGACAGACTTATGTAACTCTTGTTATACTCTTTTTGGTTAGAATATAAATCTTAACTAGCAAGCACAACCTTATTTTGTATATATGTGTTTTCGGAATATTATAATGCACTAACTCCATAATGCGCATGCAGATGCCTTATCATTTCATCTGGCATAAGAAATAGCCCATATGGATTTTACCCTTACATTTCAAAATTCTAAATGCAGCAAGAATTCTTTCAATAAAGGAAGACCACAACCTGTCAACGTAGCCACCTGTCATAATTGTTTGTTTTCACCATAGATCCAAGATCAAGAGTCCTTTTTTCTCACAACCCAGACAGAATGAGTTTAACAACAACCCACAAGGGACATTTATTCTCTAACACATAAACTGATGATACTGGTATTTATCCTGCTTCTCCCATAACATAAGGCGTATACTTTGTCATAAGGCTTGACAAAAAAAAAAATTACTTCCTGTATTTTTTTAATGCAACCAAACACAATTGGTTTATTTTTTGCTCCGCACTGTGCAGCATTGCACTGGTATCGGTTCTACCCATGGAGAACATTATACCATGTTGTTATTTATGGGTGCATCTCATAGTGTGCAGAGCTTTGTTTCTCCTCAGCATTCCTTCACTTCTCTATGACCAACAACCTCTCTCTCTTTATCTTCTTCTCTCTGACTCCTTAGGACAGATAGTGAAGAACTAGGAATCAACAAAAGCAACACTTTCCCATTCCATGTACTTTCTGGCCCCCTCTCTCAATTCATTACTCCATGTAACAGGAAGGCTGCTTTTGCTGCCTTCGCCTCTTTCTTTTTTTAATCTTACACCAGTTTTGCCCTTAGGTAGAATTTGTTGGTAGTATAATTCTACTGCATGCAAATCTACCAATCATTATAATTGTGTGTCTGGCAGAGCTGATGCAGTAGATCTTGCTTAGGTGTTGACAAGCCCTCTATGTTCATAGGACTATCGTTAACTGTGGCCTTAAGAAAGGCCCCATGATGGCTACATGTAAGCCATTGTCAAAGTTATGGCAGAACATCTTCTAACAGGTGCATTAGAAGAACTTGGCATATATTATGACAGAAATAATTCTCAACTGAAACCCAACCTTACTAAGACTCAAATATATGCCTTTCAGCTGAGAAACAAGCAGGCATTTTGGAAACTTACGGTTACCTGGAAGGGCATTCAGCTAGATTATTGTGTTGACATCAGATACCTTAGTATTACTTTGAATCATATGCTGACTTACAAGAAACATTGATGAAGTACAAAGCAAAAGGTCTCTGCAGAGAATCGTGTTCTTTGAAATTGGGAACCAGCCGGGGCACACAACCACAAACACTATGAACTATAGCCTTGGCCTTATGCTGTTCTGCAGGTGAATATGCCAGCCCAGTGTGGTATAGTTCAGCTCAGGCAAAACAGGTAGATATAGCACTCAATGGAAGCTGTAGAATGATTACTGGAGATGTGAAGCCAACTCTTACTGATAAAACCAATTATCTAGCAAGCATTGCACCAAATGGCATATGAACAGAGGTATCAGCTTACAGTGAAAGACTCGAAATACCTACGTCAAGTGAGCATCCATTCTTTGTCTGCTCTCCTGCCCCTCCCAGATTAAAATCAAGGAAAGCAGGGGTTTTTCAAATGATCTGTGAATCTCTAAACAACAGCAGAGAATATAAAGAGTACAATGCAAGTACAAATGAAGTACAATGAAGTACAACAGACACAATGAGAGTACAATATAAGAGTTATCTGCCTTTTAAAGGAAAGGAATCCCATTTAATTCTAGCCCCTAATCACACAGAAAACTGGGTTATTTGGAAACCATTTAATAGATTACAGACTGGAATTAGCAGAAACAAGGTGAACCTAAGAAAAAGGAGCTTTTACACCAACATAGTCCTTTTTGAGGGCAGGCAAGAACAACCACTTCACACTTATGTCAGTATATTTTATACTGGTCTACATGCATCATGGAAGAGTTGATGCTAACTGCCCCAAATGCTTTTCCTGTTACCTGTTATTAGGCAAAGTGATCTGAAATTTTTCTTAATTGCACTGTGGTGCTCCTGAGATGGATGAACAAAGACTCACAATAATAAAAAAAACCAAATGGATGGATAGATATTTTTTAAATGGATGATGTGATGCAGTGAAACAAGTAGAATGATACTTTGGGATGGTGTTCATGGTGGGTGAGTGAAAGAAGGAAGAAAGGGTAAAAACTGTAAAGTCAAACTGAAGCACATAAGAAAAATGAGGAGGGCACCAAGGTCAGGGGTCAAGTGTGGTGTACATCAAGAAATATCCAATAATGGTGATTTTCACACATCTGGATGAAAATACTATGTTAAAATGAGAGATAAGTAACAAACGGATAACTTGGAACAACAGCAGCATGTTGACATGCCCATATTTACAACTCTTCATATTTATTTACATTAACAGCTCAGAAAAATGATAAAGTGTTTTATCTAACATACTCCAGCCAATTAAACAAAAGTCATGCCAGATTATATACACCCAATAGTCAATGACTAAATCTGATGTTTAGAAAGGCATATTCTGTTTTTCTGGATATACATTTAAAACCACCTCCTTTCTATCCATTCACAGTTACATAGATGGGGCAATGCCTTTTGCTCTTGATGTGCCTAAAGAAAATTGCAAATGAGTTTTAAAAAATAACCTCCAGAAGCATTACAGTTATGACAAGTGAAGTAAAAAAAAGAAAGAAAGAAAGAGGTTGCTTAAATGGCTACAATCTAATCATGCTTCCCTGGAGGTAAGTTTAATTGAGATCAATGGCTTAACTTTCAAGTAAAAATTCCTAACTGGCTAAATCCAACATTTGGCCCACTATAAAATAATCACTATTATCAATTACATTTATTGTGATTGATAAGTCCGATACATTAATGAGTCTCATTTAAATAGGAATAAGGCAAAGGTAAAGGTTCCCCTTGACATTTAGTCCAGTCGTGTCCGACTCTAGGGCCTGGTGCTCATTCCCGTTTCCAAGCCATAGAGCCAGCGTTTGTCCATAGATAGCTTCCGTGGCCAGTACACCTAGACATGGAATGTTGTTACCTTCCCACTGTGGTGGTACCTATTTATCTACTTGCATTTGCGTGCTTTTGAACTGCTAGTTGGCAGGAGCTGGAACAAGTGACTCTATCATGTGGATTAGATTTTACGACTGCTGATCTTCTGACCTTGCAACACAGAGACTTCTGCGGTTTAACCAGCAGCAGCATCACGTCCCTCTAGATAGGAATAACAATGTTTATAAGGATTGCTGAAACCAATCTGTTCCTTTATAAATAATTCAGGACAAACAGATGTGGCACACATATATAGTATGTAGACAGCAATCCCAGGTGATGACATTTAGCACAACCTATGCTGTGCCTGCAGGGCTGAAGAAATAATAATTGCCAATCTGAGGAAGGGGAATTTCACAGGGGCTCCACTGGCAGACAATGACAGGAGAAGAGACACTGAATTACACTATGTTTATGCTGGAAACTAAATGTTTCCATGGGGTTTGTTGTAGGAGTAATAGAGCGTTTATGTGATTGAGGCTAGCAATCACATGAAGAATCATAACCTGCATATGCCAAGACTATAAGTAAAATAACTTTGCAGACTTCAGAATAATTGTTACATAGATCAGGTTTAGTTTATTATACTGGTATCCAAATACAGAGCAGCTTTTGGAGTCACAAAGTGATGTGCCAGGATGAATAAAAAGGAAGTATATGCATCAGCTTAATTATGTCTTGCAAATGAGTGATTTTATGTATATAATACACCATAATTATACTTAAAAAACAGTAATTTTTCCCTTTTAAATGAGGTGAACAATATTTTGAAACAAATTTAGTTTATTTATATGTAAAAAAATAAATCTACAAGAGCAACAGTGCAAACATTTCAGGACTTACATGGCACAGAAATCATAAGTGAATACAATCAGAATTATTATACAATAGGCCCAATATTCCTTTGAGTAGTAGCTGAAATGTAGAGAACAATCAAGAGGGTTAAAAATAGACTGCAGTTTAAAGAGGATGTTGAGCTACATATAACTGGCTCTGCCTTGTACGGTCTTTCTATTTCAGGTGGTAAAGCCATCATTCCTTGTATCTGAAATTTAAAATTAAATAGAATTATCCACTGCATGTACTACAGACTCTCATGATGAGTTTTATAGCTAATTTGAACTTAACTGATAGCTGCTCATCTCTGCTTGAGCTACATTATCAGTATATTATCATCCACAGAGAAATACCAATATGAATAATACAATAATATATAATATGATAGTGTGTTCAGACATATGTCCTCTGCCAGTTCCTGATGTTATTTACACTTAGTTATTTCCATGCCATCTTCTTTCCATAAATTGAAATTACTAAGATCTAAGTACCTGTCACTACATACTGTCATTTCCAGCTGAGGACAAAGCTATGAATTCAGCTGCTGTTGTAAACAGACCTGTTCAGGCACTACAGAGTGGCCTGGCAGCCAGATGAGCAATATAAAAATTGAATAAATAAAAGAAAATAAAATACATACTCAGCGTCTTGGTTTTTTAAAATCACCTTAACTGCAGGAAATAAGATTTAAAAGTTCCTGAGCTATTAGAAGCATTATAAAATGTGGTCAATACTAGAAAAATAGATTATAATTTATTAGACCATTAAAATATCAGAAATAGATAGGTGTTCCAAAACAAATTAACAAAAAAGTGTGTGTGTGTGTGTGTGTGTGTGTGTTCAAATTTCACAGGACTCAGGCAGAGTTTGGTGGTAGGTGAGCAAAGAGAGGATAGTCAAAAAACCATCTGCACTAGATGTTGGAACTGGAGGACCTGGTATCAGAAGTAAAAGTCCAGATGCAGACTGAAAAATTAAAGAATGGGTTTGAGGGTGGAGGGTGGTATCACCTATAATCTCAGGGGACATAGAATTCACTCTCTTTTTCCACCTTAATAGATAAAGGGATTATATTCACTTAGTCAGTCTTCCTTTCATTGTCTCATGTATATAGTTCATTGTAATGTTGTTTATAAGCTGACTGGATAGCACATTGAGTTGTGCACCTGATGGTAGAGTTGAGATTCCCCACTGTGCCCTCCAGGAGAAACAGCCAAGCTATGTAGCTTTGGGTAAACTGCATAGTCACAGAACATCTCCAGAGAAATGGAATGATAAACCATTTTTGTGCACTCTGTTAGCTTGGAATCCAGAAAAATATCTACTTCTGCTTCATTGACTATGCAAAAGCCTTTGACTGTGTGGACCACAACAAACTATGGCAAGTTCTTAAAGAAATGGGAATGCCTGACCACCTTATCTATCTACTGAGAAACCTATATGTGGGACAGGAAGCAACAGTTAGAACTGGATATGGAACAACTGATTGGTTCAAAATTGGGAAA